CACTTTCTTTCCCATTATCATTGCATTAACACAAAAGAACGTTTCTGATCGTTTTGAGCTCGAAAAAAAAAAAAAATACTCGGTAGTCTTGAAGCACTGAATTTATTATTTTTGTATTAGTTAGATATGTACATTTTAATGAAAGTGTTATTATTCCAGACACTATGTGTGCCTGCCTTTGCTAGCCTAGTAATAGTGAAACCCAAGCGAGTTTACTCATACATTTAATTAAAAAAAAAAGGTAAAAGAAATTCATCTATCGAGTAAAAAACCCAACACCCAAACCCCCAAAATTCCTTAAGTGTCTTTGCGTAAGGTGAAAGGACAGCGTGGCTTATTCTTATCTGGTGTTTCCTTGTATCTTGGTATTCACAAATAGCTACCATTTACATTTGATTAAGTCCTCAATAGTTCTTCGTGCTGGCACCAGACTAAGTTGGCATTACTCTTTCAAAATTAGATGTCATTGATTCTTAAAATATCTTAGAACAATGTATTAAGATGGTGTGATTGTAAAAACTTAAAAATCAATACAACGTCTATCAGGAGAGAGTGTTTTAGTAAGTATCTGTTAATAAGGGAAGCCCCCACTAATACATAAACTGGAATGTTTAAATTGTTTTATGTATAAGTATTTTTATATCTGTGTATATATATATATATAAAAAGAGCAGTATAGAGAGCTTTTATGATGGAGACACTGCATTTAAATTGCTCTAATGCAATGATTAAATTCCACATTTCACCTTTATTTTTTAGCTGATCATAGCTTTTCTGAAGGTTCCTAATGTCTTAAAGATCTTAAAAGTATATGTATTTAATTATTTTCTAAATAAGAATCAGAGGTCATTTTCAGAATTTTCATTAGCTGTTTACTTTTATGTACCTTTAATCCTAAAGGTATGTGCAAAATAAAAATTACTTTCCTTTTTGCTAGACTTTCATCCTGAAGGAATAAATATACTTAAAAGGGTGAATGCATTTATTTACATTTCTCTATTTGTTTAATTGGCTGTGTGATTTTTGGATTACAGTTTAAAACATCTGGCTAGAAATTAGGCAAGATATATATATACACACATTATATATGTAATCTGAGGTTAGGACTACATTGCTCTGTGCTGAGGAGTGTCTTTGTACCTCCATATGATTCTTTTTATAAAAAGGTCTGGTTATCTACTATTCATTTGAATTTTGAGGAGGACCCCATTTTGTAACTGGTTATATGGGAGTGGACTGATGTGATACACAGCATTTTATTTATGTCATATCTAATTGCTGAAGCTAGATTTAATTAGTTTGTTGAGAACGTACTTTGGAGATGCATAGTGATATGTAAGTGCAAGTGTCGTCATGTGGTTTAATAAGCTACTTGGCCCTTTAATGTTAAGCATCACCACAGTTCTACTGAACCGTGTCTTAATGGATTGATTTTTAATACTTAGAGACCTTGGATCTAAATTGGCCAAGAATGCTCTTGGGAGGAGCACACAGCCAAGCTGTATTTTATCTTTTCACTACTAAAGTAATTGTGTAGGTGAAATCTAGTCAGGGGGAACTCTTGTTAATGTCAGTGCTGCTGTGATTTTTAGAAGAAAAAGCACAAGCCATGGGCAGATCCAGGACCAGTAGTCAGATCTTGTTTCCCATTTGAAACTTTACATGGTATGCTGCATAGTACCTGAATTTTTAGGTTGAGTGCTTTCCGTGCTATTTCACTGGCTTGTCTTAAAAACCAAATGAATCAAAGGCAGCTTCAGCGTCTGTAGTTGTTATTCAAAATACCACGTAATTATTTTTTGTTTTCATGATTTCTAAACTTGTTTTCTAGGTACTGAGTTTGTGCTGTGAAGCTTGCAAGAAAGTAATTTTTCGTGTTCCTTCTGAACTAGAGGCTGAGACATTAGTTGGCAGAGGTGAGAAACTGCGAGATCCTATCGATGCAACATTGCACCTTTGCTGAGAATGCTGTTAACAGTCAAGGAGACTTTTTTTTTTTTTTTTAAATGGATTGAATGGATGACTGGACAGCCAGTTAAACAGCTGGATCAGCCTTTTTATGAGGGATACGCCCTATGTTTGTTACGGATTTGAACGCTGGCTCCATGCATCCATTTGACTTTAGCATAAACAGCTATTGTCAGGTTACAGTGTTTATTTTAAAACAAGAATGAGAGAGTCTCATGTTTTCAAAATTTTGAGTCTAGGGCTTAATGTTTAAATAAGTGGCTTGATATTCCAAAGGGCATCCATAACCCACAGAGTCATGTGAAGAAGGCAGTAAACCATTTGGATAATGGAAAACAAAAAGAAACAAGACAAAATCCACACAACCAAGAACCCAGAAGCTGCCGCTCTGTGAAACACGTGTGACTGACTGCTTAGTGGTGCTGGGACATTCAGGGCATGCGAGGGGACACGTTGCAAAGGTGTTGTACATGCTCATTCAGTTGGGAGAGTGCTCCTGTCTGACTGGATGGTCTGTTTTGGTTTTATGGCAATGTGCAATTGACTAGGAGGAATAGAGGAGACCAGAAAAAACATCACACTCCTCTTTGGTTTTTAGTTTTGTTTTTTTTTGTGTGGTTTTTTTTTGTTTGTTTTTTTTTTTTTTAGCTCAGACCAGTCTCTGAAATGCAGCTTTTACAGGTGTGGCATAAGAGCTGCTACAGGGCTGAGACTGAATTTGAGGATTTGGAGGTCTCCTGTGTAAATCCTAAAACAACAGAGGAATGTGCGCCAAATCTGTGATCTTAATCCATGTTCCTACAGAAGGGACAAGTAAAGTGGATCAGTAGTTTGTCATATACAAATGCTTGGAAAATCTAGCTTTAAAACCGAAAGTTCATTTCCCTTACTGTAATTTTTTTAAATGAAAGCTTGCTACAGCTGTTTAAGTAATTAGTAAGTTCTCAGAGACTTTAGCGTTTCTCTGTGTAAATAAACTTCATTTATATAAACCCAAAACTTCATGTTGTTATAGTGCTATGAAGGAAATTGCGTTTCGTTCAATGCGTAATAGCATTGAACTTACTGTTTTGGCTTTCTTTTCAAACAAAAATTCAACAAAACTTTTATAGCTTGAAAGACATTACTTAAACATTTATTGAGAAAGCATAATGTATTTTGCATTGATACAAGGACCATACCTTGAGAATGAGTCAGGATTTTCCTGCTAATTGCAAGGTATTTTAATATTTCTGAATTACGTAATACAAGAGGCTGTAAAGAAAAAAGATCCCACAAAGCTATGGCTAACTGAGCATAATATTGACTCACATAACAGTCAGAAACAAAATCTCCAGTCTGGTATTTTCGGAAATGCAGTACTGTAATATGCAGCAATATGAGACACCTTTCAGTGAGGCAGTGGTATTCTCTGCAATACTAATTTTCATTGACAAAGGAAAGGAACCACTGGTACAGTACTATAGAAAGTCTACTGAAAAGACAGACTTCAGAAGGAAGGAGGAAATCGTGTCATATTTAAAATTATTCTTCAGATCTGTTTTTGCATTCTTGAAAGAGATATGAAATTTAGTTTATTGAAAATATCAACTACATATATGGGGTGAAATTCTGAATCTACATTTTGCAGTCAGCTTTCATAGACCAAAGTACCACCCACTATCATATCATTGAAGGAGTGTTGAAAAGTTTTGATTTTGAGAACATGACACTGACACCTCCTGTACTCTGCAGGGGTCATTTGTCTAGCATTTAGGTCTCTGGCCTTCGTCTTTTTCAGGGTGCCAAATCATTATTGCTTAGTGCTGTGGTCCTACTGCAGTTCGTTTTAAGTATCCTGATTTTGCTTATTCTCCAGCGGCAGTGCTGAATTACTCGCTAATGAACCAGGCTTATTGACGTGTATTAAAGGTTTTTTTTAGCCACAAGTGATAGCAAATGCAGTAAAAAATATCTGAGAAGTATGTTGAACTTACCTGGTACTTCCTATAAACTGCATGGAATTCTATCTGAACATATCAAAACATTGAACATACTGAAAAATTGCCAATTGTTTGTTCTAGAGTTAGTCTTTATCTCTCCCATCTGTCTGCTTCATAATTTAAAGGCTTTTGTCTTCCCAAGACTATTAAATCACATAGTACTAGTCAGTGTTTTCTTCCTGACGGCGAATATTCTAAGACATAATATCACCATTGCGCATTTGCATTAATTAATCATCTTCACTGATTTTGTGGGGCAAATGTAATAGCTACTGATTCTCTGATGCTTCAATAGATGCATGCACCAATGTAATAGCATCTTGCTGAAAGATACCGCCTTTTCCTTTAGGAAACACGAACACAAGAGTGGAAATTAATGTAAACTTGGTCAAATCTGAATGCATAAATGAGTCATAGAATCTATATTTGTGATGCTTAAACGCTGAAGGATTAGATTTTTGAGGATTCCATATGTCAGTAAATATAACTTTTACTTAGGGGTTTCTTTTTTGTTTTGCAAGAGATGTTATTGTCTTGCTGTTTGAGTTATTGTCTGAATATATATATATATATTTTTACAGTTGATTTGAAAGAATGCCTTCAGTCTGCAGAGTTTATCAGTTCCAGTGACGGAAACTTCAAAATTCTAGAGGATGGTTCTGTGTACACAACATCTGTTGTTTCTGTGTCTGCTGAGAAAAAGACTTTTACCATATTACTTAAAGATACTCAAGAACAAGTAGAAAAGAAAATACATGTTAGTTTGGTGGAAGAAGAAAAGAAGGTGAGCTTCTAGTTTCAAGATACTTATTTGAAATACTGTATCACAGAGTACAGCTTCATGCTGGGTAATGGTATTTGAATTTTGGAAATCAAGTAATTAGGCAAAGCGCTATGGTTTAGAATGTATTTTTATTTAGCAGTTGTTGATTACTGTGTTGTTTAAGTTGACACAGACTTCCTTTCTGATATGGAAGATGCTAGCAAGGAACTTAATTGGGAATGTCAAGAATCTTAAAAGCCATGTTTGAGGAATTAAAGCAGATTTTACTCATGCAAAGTATTACAATGAATGAAAGAACTCTTGGAATACTATCATCACAGGTGTAATCAGAAATTAAGACTTTGGAAAAAAATGGTCAGTGGGAAAACCAAAATAGACGATAAAAAAGACAAAATTTCAGAACAGTAGCTAAGCAAAAATACAGAGTTAAGAATATATGGATATATTCTTACCTGTCTTTGTATCTTCTAGGCCCAGGCACAGAAGACCAGGCATGCTAGAGATACAGTTCTCAAGCGAACTAAAAGAAGGTGGGGCCCTATTCCATCTGTTATGTTAGAGAACTCACTGGGACCTTTTCCACTACAAATACAGCAGGTATATTTTATACAAATCCTAATTTTATGACACAAGCTAATATCGTATGTGACTTTTATGATGAAAGAACGAAAGTGAACTCTCTTGTATTCCCTACTGAAGCCATTCCT